TATCTTTGCCTGAGAGCCCCTTAATTTCAAAATTATGACAATTCAGAGGGAGGGGGTTTCCATTTTCCATTTCAGGGGAGGCTCCTGCCTTCCTCAGCACACACCTGTCTGTTCAAACCCAGACACCAGACCATGCCCCTCTGCAGATGAGCAACACCTGTATCAGATCCAGAGCCCCAAGGGGACACCGCCAACACCTCCTGCTGCAGGATCTGCTCCAGGCCTTCCTCAGCCTGGAAATGGGGAAAGAACAGAGGCAGGGAACCCTGGGAGCTCTCTCTATCATCCTGCTCTCCAGCTAACAGGGGCTTTGGGAAGAATGATGGAGCTGGGAAGTTTAAAGTGGCTTTTCAGACTTAGTAAATGAAAAACTCTCGACACAGAAACTCCTCCAGAACACAGGTGAGAAATCTTGGGACGTCTTTGTAACTCCACTGGACTCAACAATTCTGCTGAGCCCAAATGCAGCAGAGCTGGTGCTGCTTATAGAGTTCCATCCCAGGTGGAGAGCCAAGAAAACCAGCATTCTAAAACTAGTCACAATGTTGAGGACAATTCCAAAAATCCCCTAAGCTCCCAATGCCAGCAGCACACACACACTGCCAGGACAGCTGCCAACACCATTCACTGGATGTGGAAGGATTCAGATCTCAAGAATGGCTTCCCATAAACTAAAAAGGAATAAAGTCCTGCAGGAGACTGAAACCTTCAGAGCACTCACTAAGAACTGCTGTCCTGGCCTTTGCATCTGCCCTGGAAGCACAACCAGCTCTGGCAGGTTTTGAGGCACTGTGCTTACTATTTTACTAACAGGACACTCCACAGCATGGGCTGCTGAAATTTCAGACTTTCTGTGCTGACAGACTCTGACCCCCAGGAGAACACTGCATTTACCTGAGGCTGTGGAGAAAACTTCCAAAATGGAATGACAAAACGAAAATGATGGGTGTGGAGTTTGAACGAAGTGTGTGATATCGCAGGGTGAGAACCCTACAGTTAAAGGTTTTTGAATATAGTAATATATATATAAAGCAAGATGGAGGTTTTAGGGCAGAGGCTGATCCTTCTTCTTCACCTTCTTCTCCATGGGTTAGGTGGTATTGTGTAATTGGATAAAAAAGTCCACACTGTGGGCCATAGGTTGTTGATTATTGGGTTAATAGTAAAAATAATTCAGGTGTCACTGCTTAATTGGACAGTTTATCCTTAAAATGCCTTGTAGAGAGAGAGATACAAGTCCATTTTTTAGTTTGCTAGAGTGAAGTGCTGCAGAACTCAGGGTTTGTGAGACTGTAACATGGATAAGAACTAATAAACATCTGAGTCCCAACAAGAAATCCCATCTCACACATTTATTCCTGACCCTGGCAAAAAGAACCCTGACAATGGGCTGCACTGCCTGCATGCTTGGAGGGATGGGAATGGCCTGGGTTAGGCTGGGCAGCCTTTCCCCATGGTGGGGGTGAGCTAAAGCCCTACCCTGACAGTGCTCTGCTGGGATCTCTGGACATTTTGAGTGCTCCACTCCCATACAAGAGCCTCAAAATACAGCTCTGCACCCAGCTTCCAGGGAATTCATTCCCTTCCCCTCCTGCCTGGGCACCAAAGAGCCTCCAGACTGTGGAAATCACACACCTACAGCAGTGTAAAACATGGACACCACAGTGGCTCCATCTCTGGAAGCTCAGCTTGTCCCTGTGCTCCCACAGAGGCCAACAAGCTCCAGGAATGCCTTACCCGTCTCTCGGCTCCAGACTCCTCATCCTCATCCCCTTTGGGCTCATCCAGGAACTGGATCACACTGACTCTGTTCAAGTTGCTGTCTGTCCAGCTCTCATCCACACTGTTCTGCAGCAGGTTCTCTGGGGAGCAAGAGAACACAGTGGGAGCTCCTTTTGGGAAGAGCAGGGTTGCAGGTGTGGATGGAGGTCAGTTCTTATCCCATTAGGGAGCTTCTGTTGTATCTGCCCATGGCATAAGAGGCCTTGAGGACAAAGGCTGTGGCCTCACCATCCTGTCACCCTCTGTACATCTTCCACCTACAGCAGCCTCCAGAAGTGTCTGATGCTTCAGCTCCAGCACTCCTTACCCAAGGAGTGCAGGAAAAGGCAGAATTCAGGCAGGAATAACTGTAGCCATGATATTTTCTGAAAAATCCTTTCCTTAGGATTTTTTTTCTTGAGAAGCTTAGAGGCCTCAGGAACAAAATGTAAACAATGGTTATCTGCTGCTGTGGAATGCAACAGGAGCATCTGTGATTGGTCTCATGTGATTGTTTCTCATTAATGGCCAATCACAGTCAGCTGGCTCGGACTGTCTGGTCAGTCACAAACCTTGGCTATCATTCTTTCTTTTTCTATTCCTAGCCAGCCTTCTGATGAAATCCTTTTTTCTATTCTTTTAGTATAGTTTTAATGTAATATATATAACAAAATAATAAATCAGCCTTCTGAAACATGGAGTCAACATTCTCATCTCCTCCCTCATCCTGGGACCCCTGTGAACACCATCACAATCAGCATGCTGACAGTACAATGAAAATTAACTGCTTGGACAGCAGATCCAAGCAAAGCACTCTAAGATGAGGCTGCAGTGCCTTGTCACCTGTCAGAAGCAATTCCTCAGTTTTAACAATCACTGCCTGGGAAAGGTGCCCCAGATCCATCCACACAAGAGCCTGGATGTGCCACAGGGATCACGGCAAGGACAGCCCAGCCCAGCAGAGAAGGTTCAAGCCCCCTCCAGAGCACAAAGCTCTGCAGCCAGTGCTGGTGCTGCAGATTCTTACCCAGGCTGGGAGAGGGCTGCTGGGGGAGCAGGTAGCAAGTGAGAACCTTTTCTCCTGTCTTCTCATCATCCTCGGTCTGGAACTTCAGCATGGGCTGGGACTGGTTTTCTGCCAGCCACAGGGCCTTCAGATTAAGATTTGTCAAAGCAAAGGGCAAGTTCTGCAGCCTGCAAAAGAGAACAGCAACTGCTTGTTAAATTTCCTGGTCAGGAAAGAGCTCAACTCCAGGGTGCCCCAGCTGAGCACAAAGGGACAGAGCAAGCTGCTGTGGATGCCCCAGTCCTGTTCCCAGCTGGTTCTGTCCCTGGCTGTGGGACTGGGCTGCAGTACCCCATCCTCACCAGCCTTTAGCAGGGGACAGCTCCCTCCAACAGTGTGGAGGGGTTTACAAACAGAAAAGCAATGCTCTCACAGACCAGCGTACAGAATGCTCCTCACAGAACCTCTGGTGTTGGCCACAGTTTCCAATGCAGGCGAGGCTCCTGCCTTCCTTAGCAGACACCAGTCTATCCAAACCCAGACACCCAAAAACCAACCAGCAGCCCTGCAGCAGCACTGCTCACCTGTTGCCAGCCACATCCAGCACGTGGAGCTCAGTGGTGTTTGCCAGTTTCTATTTCATAGGAGGCTCCTGCCTTCCTTAGCAGACACCTGTCTATCCAAACCCAGACCCTCCAAAGCCAACGAGCAACCAACAGCCGTGCTGCTCTCCTGTTCCCAGCCATGTTGTGGCGTTGGCCACAGTTTCCATTTCAGGAGAGGCTCCTGCCTTCCTTAGCAGACACCTGATTTTCCAAACCCAGACACCCCAAAGCTGTGCTGCTGCTCACCTGTTGCCAGCCACATCCAGCATGTGTAGCTCGGTGGTGTTGGCCACAGTTTCCATTTCAGGGAGCACACCTGTATTTCCCAACCCAGACCTCCCAAAGCCAGGCTGCTCACCTGTTGCCAGCCACGTCCAGCACGTGCAGCTCGGTGGTGTTGGCCAGCTCGGGGGGCAGCAGTGCCAGGCGGTTGTCACGCAGGGACAGCACGTTGAGGTTGGCACAGCCCCCGATCTCTGCTGGCAGCGCTGTCAGCCGGTTCCGGTCCACGTTCAGGTTGGTCAGCTTGGCCAGCTTGCCCAGGGACTTGGGCAAGGCCTGCAAAGGAGCCCAGTCAGTGGTTGTAAACAAACAAACATCATAACTTTTGTCAAAGTTGTAAAGCAGTTATGTAGGAGTGTGTCCCCTCTAGATGGAGTGACAAACTATCCTTTGTCGCTTAAAAGGAAAGAAGTCCAGAAGTTTCTCTCCTCGATTAAGTACAAAGGTGCCTCAGAAGACCCAGGGGACTTCACCTCAAACTTTAGGATAGCTCATTGGACAGAAGCCAAAAAGTCCCACTAGAAAAGGATGTGAACAAAAACCAATTGCTTTTGTGAGGAGTTTTTACCAGGAGCAGGAACGTCTGGCACCTGGCTCAGTTCTTCTGTTTGTATTTTGCCTTTTACTAAACCTTTTTGCTTCCAACACTGCAACAGAGGCCATCCTGCTGATCACTGTGCCTCCAAGGGTAGCTGAGCTATCTTGGGTGTGTTATGGGCCTCCTGGAGCTCATTAGACCTGGCTGGAGGAGGATACTATAACTACAGTATCTACAGGATACTACCTATCGGACAACTATAACACTGGTATGTTTATCACAGCACTGCACACATGTGGGAATCCTTCTCCTAACATGACATATGTACCGCTGGAAACTCCATATTTTTTTCTCTCTCTCTCAAATAAATATGCATGCAATTTCACAATAGGCTCATACATATTCACTCTACTGATTTCAAGTGACATTTGCTGCTAATTCTTCTTTATCAGAAAGAACTCCTGGGTCATGTTGCCTTGCTCTGTCTGCCCCTCTCCTCCTCCTTTATCTCTGTCTTTTGGCTGAAGCAGTTTCTCTGAGCATAGGTTTTTTGTTAGAACAGGCAGTCAGACTAAACAGCAAGCTACAGACTTAACTCAAAGATGTACATTTCACCTAAATCAAAATGGATTTCTGCTCTGGAAAATTTCTACTCTGTCTCACAAGAGGAAAGGGTAAACACACACAAGTAAAGGCACAGAGCCCTCAGCCTGGGGAGCAAGCTGCCTTCCATCCCAACAGACACTTCTGGGAAAATGCTCTTGGGACATCTTTGGAACAGGTTTTCCCTCAGGCTCATAGACTGATCTGTGCCAACTCTTCCCCTCAACACAGAACCACTGGTCAAGACTTCCCTTCTGTTTATCTGCCTGTTTCCAATATTCCTGTTTTACCAATCAAATCACAGGCAGTTTGGAGTAGGGCCATTCTCAATCACACCATCCCAAAAAAATCCCTCAGCAATGCAGCCTGGGATGGGGTCTGGCACCTGTCAGCTGGGATGGGCTATGGGATGGGCAATCCCAGCATCCCAGAGAATGATTTGGGGGAAAAAAGTCAGTGAGAGAAAGCAGCTCCCAAACTTGTGTGAATTTGGTGAAACTGTAGAAGCAGCTGGAGCAGCTCAGGAATTCAGCTGGGAGGCAGAAGAAGGGAAGGGATCCTTGCAGCTGGCAGAGAACAGCATGGGAGAGGCTCCTGAAAGCTCCTGCACAGCTCCTGAAAGGTGCCTGTGCTCAGGTGGGGTTGGGCTCTTTCTCCAGGAACTGACAGAACCAGAGCACACAGTCTCAAGCTGCACCAAGGGAAATACAAGTTGGATATTAGGAAAAAGCTTTTCATGGGAAGGGTGATATAGTTCTGAAATGGCTGCCTGGGGAGGTGGTGGAGTCACCATCCCTGGGTGTTTTTAACAGGGTGCCAGGGTTTAATTGAGGTGTTAGGGCTGGGTTGGACTCCATGATCTTGAAGGTCTTTTCCAACCTGGTGATCCTGTAATTCTGTGATTGTGTGAGGCAGGTGTCTGCTGTGCACTCACCGTCAGCATGTTCTCAGTCAGGATGAGCTCAGAGAGGTTCTCACAGTCCCCAATCGACTCTGTCATGTCTGTCAGCCTGTTCTGGTCCACCTTGAGGATGGAGAGCTGCTTCAGCTGACCTGGCCAGGGCGACAAGTTAGGTGTGAGCTGTGCCAGAGTGAAGGGTGCTGCTCTACACTCACCTGTGATCCCATCCAGGGTCACACAACCCAACCGTGCAGGCTCTGCTTTTCCTCCCAGCAGGCCTGGTCACAGATGAAGCACCTGCATTGCCCTGCAGAGCTCTGCTCACCTGCCCCACCCACTATGGCTGTATCCATGAATCCCTGATTCCCTGGCACACACAAAGCACCTGCATTGCCCTGCAGAGCTCACCTGTCCCACCCACTATGGCTGTGCCCATGAATCCCTGATTCCCTGGCACAGACAAAGCACCTGCACTGCCCTGCAGAGCTCTGCTCACCTGTCCCACCCACTGCTCCTGTCCATAAATCCCTGATTCCCTGGCACAGATGAAGCACCTGCACTGCCCTGCAGAGCTCACCTGTCCCACCCACTGCTCCTGCTCTCTCTGGCTGTGTCCATGAATCCGTAATTCCCTGGCACACACAAAGCACCTGCACTGTCCTGCCGAGCTCACCTGTCCCACCCACTGCTCCTGTCCATAAATCCCTGATTCCCTGGCACAGATGAAGCACTTGCACTGCCCTGCAGAGCTCACCTGTCCCACCCACTATGGCTGTGCCCATGAATCCCTGATTCTTTGGCACACACAGAGAACCTGCACTGCCCTGCAGAGCTCACCTGTCCCACCCACTGCTCCTGTCCATGAATCCCTGATTCCCTGGCACACACAAGTTCCTGTTTCCTGCCAAGGCAGCCCTGCAGCTCCCCCAGCTGGCGGCACTCACCGATCCCATCGGGAATGCATTCCAGCAGGTTCTGTGACAGCAGCAGGTCCGTCAGGGCCACCAGCCCGCTGACCTCGTTGGGCAGCTGCTCCAGCTTGTTCTCAGACACGTCCAGGCACACCAGGCGGCGCAGGTTGCCCAGCTCCTGCACAGAGAGGAGAGCCCACGGCTCAGGGCAGGGCTGGGCTGGGTGCTCATGGCTCAGGGAGCAGCAGGACAGGGAAGTTTAGGGAAGGGAAGTTTAGGGAAGTGGGAAGGGAAGGGTGTGCTGAGCAGACACTCACCGGTGGCAGGGCCGAGAGCTGGTTCCGGTCCAGCCACAGCTCGCGCAGGTTCGGGAGCGCGCCCAGAGTGTCCGGCTGCAGAGACAGCACAGTGAGGACATCACCAGGCCATCAGCCCCTCCAGGGATAGGGAGAGGCTGCTCGAGGGTGTGCAGATACAGCACTCTGCAAAGCCAGGCACTGCTGTGCCTCTCACCCCTCCCAGCACCGTCCAGGGATCATTAGGAGAGAACAGCACACTGGGAATGTCTGGGATGGCTGCAGTGGGATGGCAAACACTGACAGCATCAGCAGGGCTGTGTCAGCAGGGAAGCAGAGCTGAGCCTGCAGCACAGCTCTGGTGGAGAGCAGCTCAGGAGCTGGGGCACAACGGGGCTCAGGGGAGATGCTGCTTCCTGCAGCTCCCTGGCAGGAGGATGGAGCCAGGCAAGGGTCAGGCTGTGCTCCCAGGGAACAAGGGACAGGACAAATGGTCTCAAATTGTGCCAGGGGAGGTTTAGGTTGGATATTGGGAAAATTGCTTCTGGGAAGAGCTGTCCAGCCCTTGCACAGGCTGCCCTGGACAGAGGTGGAGTCCTCACCCCTGGGGTGACTTAACAGCTGTGTGGATGTGGCACTTGGGGACACAGGTTAGTGGTGGCCTTGGCAATGCTGGGAGAGTGGCTGAACTCAGTGGTCTCAGATGGTTTTTCCAACCTAAATGATTCTGTGATTTCAGGGGATTGGAAATTCTGGCCTTACAGAAGGAATGCATCTCCTCCTCTCAGACATGAAAATGAACATTTGGGTACCACTGCCCAACTCAAGATGACCCAGTGGCACCATCAGCTGTGACAGACACATGTGCACATCCCACAGCCCCCAAGGCAATCAGGGTTTGGAGTTTGTCCCACTGGAGCATGGCTCAGTGTCACACACCTGTTCTCACAGGTGAGCTCAGCCTGTGCACAGCTGAGCTGCACGAGCCCCTGTGCCTCCCAGCTTTCTGCTAAAACCCACAACAGGACACCAAGAGGAAGATCCAGTAACAGCTTAATTCACAGCTGCAAATTACAGAATATTACAGGGTGGCCCCAAATGCCCAGATAACCTCAACTCAGACTGTGCCCTTGCTCTCCACATGCTGAGCCCTCCATGGAGAGAGCCCCCACACTGGGCTACCCTCACTGCCGTGGACAACATGGAATGGCCCAGCACTGTGTGGGGCAGAAATCACATCAGAAAGCAGAAAGGCAGGAAGCTGGATGAGAAGGAAAACAGCTGGGGGCAGTGCAGGACAGAGAAGGGAAGCACAGAGTCCTGCTGGAAAGGAAAGATCCTTGGCAGCCAGACAGGAACAATCTCCATCCCAGAGCCTGGAAAGGACAGGGCAGGCAGAGTGTGAGGCCAGCAGGACACAGGGGCTCACACACAGAGAGAAAATTCACCTGGGAATGGTGACTGGGCCATGCTGGGCAGATCAGAACCTCCCCAAATAACCTGAGGGCCTGTCTCTTTGCATTCCAGGTGCAAACCCCTGCCAACCCCCCGAGCCCCTCCCCAGCAGCCCTCACCTACCAGCACTTCCAGGTCATTGCCACCGAGATCCAACTGCTCTAACTTGACAAGGAAGGAGAGGGAGCTGCGAGGCACAGGGCACAGAGAGATAAAACAAGAAATAAAGAGCGGAAGGTTAGCACCTGGGACACACATCGCACAAACCACACCATCTCCAGTAACTCCTGCAGCAGGTGGGGCAATCCTGGCCTTTCTCACGTCCCTCTGAGCCCAGCGCTTTGTGGAGCTGCTCCCTTCCCCAGGCCAGACTGCTCACCCCAGGCAATGGTTCAGAGGCTCCAGCAGCCCCATGGTACCAGTTTGCCCTCTGCTCTCCCCAACACAACAACTCTGTGATTGAAAGCACAGCAGGTGAGCAGCCACACCTTCCCATGGCTGCTGCTGCACAGCGAGGACGGAGCTGGGCACGGACTGACAGGCAACAGGAGGGGCTCAGTAGAGGACAGGACATGTGTGGGGGGCAAGGGGAGCACACAGCTGCAGGGAAGGGAGCAATGACAAATTCCACAGCCTTCCCCAAACACAATGCTCGTGAAGAGGAAGGGAACACGACAGCGGCCTGATGTCTCGGGTGAGGGGAGCGGTACAGACAGAAGCTCACGATGAAGGCACTGCACAGGACCTGCCCTCACCTCACCACACCAGCAGCCCTGAGCACCCCACACACCACACCTGGGGCTGGGCCAGCCCTGCAGTCCCACAAACCCAGGGCTGGGTTCTCATGACATGGTCCAGGTGCTCACACCTGAGTCTGACCCATCTATTCCAGCTCCCCAGAGGGCTGCTGCCCCTCACTGTGTGCCAGCTGCCAGCCCTGCCCACTCCCCCAGCAGGGAACAGCTTCACTCTCCTCTTCAAGAACTGTCCAAACAGAGAAATCCCCACATTTCTCTGGAAACAGATCCATCTCTCAAAGCCACCCAAACCAGGGCTGTTGGGGGTACAATAAAAGGGAACTGTCTTGCCTGTAAAAACATCTGGGTTACTCAGGAAAATGAATTTCCTGCTGCATGTAGCAGTGGATTTTGAGATAAACTCCAGCAAAGGTTTATTAGCAGTTTCACCCAGAGAATCCTGCTGCACAGCACTCCTTCACCATGAATGTGCACCAACCCTAACTCCTCTGGAGGTGATGCAGCCCTGCCTGTCCCTCTGCACCTTCACAGCTTGAATTCCCAAAACAGGAACAAGAGAGCTGTGGAATTCACATCTGGGGGATCCAGACAGCCCTGCCTGTCCCTCTGCACCTTCACAGCTTGAATTCCCAAAACAGGAACAAGTGACCTGGGGAATCCACACTGATGACATCTGGCAAAAGATCTCAGTGTAGACCACCCACCACTATTCCACAGGGATCCAGAAGAGCTGCCCTTCCCAAGTCTGGCTGCATCCCAGCTGCATGGGAGAAATGAGGGGTGATCACCAGCTGAGCAAGCTGCACCATTCCAGAGCTCAGTCAGTATCAGAAGACTGACCAATTACATGGAATTTTGGCAAACAAAGGTCACTGCAAGCTGGGTCATTCAAGAAGCTCTACAACAACAAAATACCAAAAGGACCCTGATGCATTTTGCTGCCCCAGACTCTCAGCATTGAAGCCCACCTATCTATCCACGGGGCTAGGGAGCCCTGGCAACAAAGCACCAGCTATTTCTTGCTTAAGTCATTCTCCTCTTTGGCAAGCCCACCTGACCTCCTTTAGAGCTGTTTTTGTGCAGCCAGCCAGCCAAGGGCATGAGGCAGAGAGCCCACAGCATCACTGAAATGGGTTTGGCCATCCTGTACTCGACTGATACCTCTGATCAGAACCACCTTGGCCTTCAAGATCCATGTTCTACTTCTGGAAATCACTGCAAAATAGTATTTGGGGAACTGGGGAGTGTCCTGGTTTGAAAAATGACAGGGAAAGATGAAAAGAAGCTGAATTTGCATTACAGAGCGAGTATCAAGCCTGGATTAACCTTCCAGTGAAAACACCAAAACCTCATAGCAGACTACCAGCATCCTGCTGGACGGCACCCAGAACTACCAAAGGGCATCTGGGAGCACTGGGCAAGAGATCTCCCCAAACACCCAGCACTGGGCAAGAGAGATCTCCCCAAACACCCAGCACTGGGCAGGAGAGATCTCCCCAAACACCCAGCACTGGGCAGGAGAGCTCTCCCCAAACACCCAGCACTGGGCAGGAGAGCTCTCCCCAAACACCCAGCACTGGGCAGGAGAGCTCTCCCCAAACACCCAGCACTGGGCAAGAGAGATCTCCCCAAAAACCCAGCACTGGGCAAGAGAGATCTCCCCAAACACCCAGCACTGGGCAGGAGAGCTCTCCCCAAAAACCCAGCACTGGGCAGGAGAGCTATCCCCAAAAAACCAGCACTGGGCAGGAGAGATCTCCCCAAACACCCAAGGGCTGTGGCCACAGACTGAATTCTCAAACTGCAGAGACTTGGTGGCTCTGAGATGCCAAAAGCTATTGGGACTAACTTCTCTGCTGTGGTATTGATGGGCTTTTAGGACGAGGTGAGAGATGAGAATTTGACTCCAACTTCTCAGAAGGTTAATTTATTATTTTATGATAGTATATTATATTAGAAGAAATTATATACTAAAATTATACTAAATAAAGAGAAAGGATGCAGACAGAAGAATGAATAATAAAAACCTGTGACTCCTCAGAGGGTCTGACACAGCTGTCATTGGTTATTAAGAAAACAATTCACATGGAACCCATGAAAGAATCACCTACCACATTCTAAAGCAGCAAAACACAAGGAGAGGCAATCAGATAATTACATTTACATTTTTCTCTGAGACTTCTCAACTTCCCAGAAGTAATCCTGGCGAAGGGATTTTTCAGAAAACATCACAGTGACACTCTGCAGTTTGGAAGCCCAGCCCTGGATGAAGCTGCTGCACCTCTCTGCTGACATGGGGTCAGCCAGCTGTGGCAGCTGCCTGTGTGAGCACCCAGGACAGGAAAAGACACAAGAGCAGCCACACCAGGACCCCAACTCCTCTGCTTGCCAGTTCTCAGCCCACAATAAGTGTCCAAGGTCAAGCTGGACAAGGTTTGGAGCTCCCTGCACCTTGGAAAGTGTCCCTGCCCAAGGCAATAATGGGCTGGAGGTCCTTTCCAACCCAAACCATCCTGAGGTTCCAACCCAAACCATCCTGGGGTTCCATGATAAGGAGCTCTAATCCCTGCCCAAGGCAATGGGCTGGAATGTGATGACCCTTGAGGTCCCTTCCAACCCAAACCATCCTGGGGCTCCATGATAAGGAGCTCTAGCCCAGATTGTCCTGTGTGGTGACACTCCACATGGGACCATCTCAGGTGCCCCTTCCTGTCACCCTTCTGTGACAGGGTCACTGCTGGGCACAAGGGATGTGCTGGCTGGCATCAGACCAGGCCATCTGTGATTCTGATCTGTGCCCCTACAGGGGGAAGTGCCAGCAGACAAACTGAGCTCCTGCCAGGAGCTGTAATCTGAGGACAGGTGACAGCAGCTGCACACATCACACCTTCACTGAGGAGTTCAGGTGGCCCCAAAAGAACTGCTGTTCTAACAGGACTGTAAGAGAGCTCTGAGGACAGCTGTGACCACAGCTGCACACATCACACCTTCCCTGAGGAGTTCAGGTGGCCCCAAAAGAACTGCTGTTCTAAAAGGACTGTAAGAGAGCTCTGAGGACAGCTGTGACCACAGCTGCACACATCACACCTTCACTGAGGAGTTCAGGTGGCCCCAAAACAACTGCTGCTCAAGAAGGAGCCAGCAGAATCTTTTCAGTGACTCCAAGGAAAGCTGGGGGAATCATCAGTGGGATGCATGAGCAGGCAGGAAATGAGCTGACAGAGCTGCTGGAGGGCAGAAAACTCAACAAACTCTGATAGGGCCAGAGCAAAGACTGAAGTAGCAACTGGGCAGTTCTCCACGTCCATCCACCTGAGAGCATCACCTCCACCATGAACCAGGTTCCCTGACAGGAACTCGTCCCTATCCCTGACTCCAGCACGTGGAACAACACTTACCTCTTCTCCCTTGCTGGCTTAGCTTTGTCTGCTGCAGGGGAGGCAGTTATCCCACCCAGAGCAACCAGGAGGGATATCCAACAGAACAGATGTCAGGAGCAAAATGGACCCTGCAGCTGTGCTCCTCAAATCCTGAACCTCACTGTGCACACAGCTCCTCCTACACCCCCATCCACACTTTTCTCTTTCTTTCCAAAATAATCTACCCTGCTCCACCTCTTCAGGAAAAATGGGGTTCTCACTATTTCCAGCAGGTGTTTTTGGGGAGCCCTGCCTATTCGAAACCAATCCTTACACAGGCTGAGCGCAGGCTCTGAACATCCTTTGCTGCTCTCCAGTCCTGCACCATCCTCTCCCTCCTCACCCCAATTTAAGGAAATCCACAAGGTGCAGCCTATTTGTGCCCAGCCTGAGCCCTCCCCAGCCAAGTGATGGTGCCTGCCCTGGTCCCTGAGGGAGCAGCAAGAAGGACCAGGCAGGAGACTCCTGCAGCCCCCAGACAGACACTCACGTGGGGAGAGTCTTTAGCAGGTTCTCACGCAGCTCCAAAGTCACCAGGTTTGCCAAACTGCAAGAGAAAAGGGAGCAAGAAAGCCAGGTTCACTGGACAGGGCTCAGGGATACCAGGGGCTGCTCATGTCCCTTCCCTTGGAACCACCCCTGGTGTCCTGTGCAATGCATGGGTGTGCACACATGGATGGAGATGTGAACAGAAACACAATGAAAATGGTTCTGTGGACACAAGTGCTTGCTGCAGCCACAAGGAACAACACTGTGCCCACACTCAGGACAAGGAACACGCTGCCACAACAGGACTGCCGGCCCAGAAAGGTCAAACCCCTCTCATGAGGAAGGGCAAACCCCATGGGAGAGGCACTGCGCCCCCCGAGGCCACTGGCCAGCAGCATAAATCTGAATCAAACATCATCAGGCAGCCTACATCTGCTTGGAGAGGGGTGAATGGGCACTGAGAACACAGGGAAAACTGGATTGAGGAGAGTGGATCAATCCTTGCTGTGCCACAAACCCCAGCAGGGAGCAGAACCTTAGTAGGAAGGTGTTTTAACAACCCTGGCTTCTCCCTGCAGGTGCTGCCACTGTCCTGGTGCCAGCAGCAAGGTGTCCCCAGCCCAGCCCTCCCCAGAACAGGCCATACTCACTTCCCAATGTCAGTGGGGAGGCTCTGCAGGGACACATCGTTCAGGGCCAGGTGGCCCAGGCTCCGGAGCTGGGTGAAGCCCTCGGGCAGCCTGTGAGAACATGAACAGATTCCATTAATGCTGTGTGCAAAGCACACAATGCCCCAAAACACTCAGATCCACCAAAGCCAGTCTCATCCCAGCTGGCATCCACATGTGGAAAGGAGAACAGGAGCCATCACCAACCCTGGTGCTGATCCAGGACAAGCTCTGCTTCCCAGAGCACAAAACCCACTTGCACCACACATTACCTGTCCAGGATGGCAAACCCAGCCCTGCAGTACCTGAGCACAAATCCCAGACTAAACCCTGCCATGGGAGCATTTACACTTGAGGAAAGGAGGGCTCCCAAGCATTCCAAGTGCCCAAAACAAAGGACATCCCTGCAGATGACACTGTAGCATTGCCCAGGACCAGGCACCATCAGAACACACCCAAGGTGTGACAGAACAGGGAAAAACCCTGGAACAAAGTTCCTGGAGGAAATTCCTCTGCTTCCACAGGCAGCTCATAGAGCCCCCTTAGCACCCACTCCCCAAATCATCTGACCCTGAGCAGAAAAGCTCTGACAAGTAACAACTGGTGCAGAAGTGCTGGTCACTCCTGTGGTGCAGGGATTGTCACCAACAGGGAAGCTTGTCCCACTGCAGCAGGGCCTGGCACCAGGAGAGGGAGCAGAGTTAATGTGCCTCAAACCCGGGCAGCACCTGCCCTGAGCACAAAGGGATACCTGGGGCCACACAGGGACCCTGCAGCAGGACACCAGTGCTTGGAAATGTGGCTCACTGAGGCAGGGGAGCCACACCAAATCCCAAATTTATGCATGAAAAGCTCCAGAGTACTGCAAGACAATTCCTGCTTGGGCACAGCTCAGGGCACTGAGGTAAGAGGGGTACAAATCACAGCTGTCCTTAGTTCTGAATAACAGAGAGGTGGAAAAGGGGCTAAGAGGGGGCAAAAAGGGCTGAGAGTGAGGCCCAAAAGGGGCTCTGAGGTGCAGAGCATTGCATGCAGGCTTTTTCTGCTCTGCAGCACAAGCCCTTACCCATTCAGGTTTGTGACCAGTGCAAAGAGAGCAATAAACTCATTGCAAGAGGACACAAGTCCTCACTGCTGACACCAGTACAACAGCAGCTCATCACCCACAGCCCCAGGCCCCAGGATGGAGCTCACTCAGCTCCTCCAGCACCAAGTGTTCCAGTGCCAGGAGAGTGCCAGGAACACTTCCAGTGCCAGGAGAGCAGACACTGCAGCTTTGGAAGAGGCAGGGCAACCCCAGCCTTGGCTTCACAGGGACACAATTACAAGATGAAGATCAGAGCAAGCCAGGCACAATGTGCAATCCCAGTTCTCCTCTTCAGCTGGACTAATGGGCTGCATGTGCCTTCCTACCTGGAGAGAGGATTCCCACTGAAGTCTGCGATTTCCAGGGATTTGCAGAACTTGATGCTTTCAGGAATTTCTGGAATGTCTGGAAAAAAACAGGTGAAAGAACAAAAGAGGCTTGAGAAAATGGGACAGCAGGCAGTGGTGGCAGCCTGAGACATGGCAGCACAAGCCCATGTCAGAGCTGAGGAGCGCTGAGGGCGAGGAGGGCACAGCTTCCCCCCAGCATGAGGGCACCGTGGGGTTGGTCTGGGCACTGCTCCTGCCCAGCTCTGGGCTCACCGTTGCGGGAGATGTCCAGCTCCACCAGCTGCATGAAGTTGGCCACCTCGGGGGGCAGCCTCTGGATCTCATTGTCGCTCAGGCCCAGCTTGCGCAGGTTCAGGAGCCTGAAGAAAGGCTGGGACAAAGGGACACAACGGGGTCAGTCAGTAGCAGATCTGGGGTCAACCAGCTCCTCATCTCAGGGGAAGGCTGAGCATCCCCCCTGAAACCCTGCCTGCTCCCACCACCCCATCCCACCAGGGGCAGTCACTGCATGGATCAGAACCCCCATGAAGGGCTATGAGGGATTCTTGTATTTGTGGGGTGCCCCGACAAAGGTGAGGAATGATGAGTCTGACTCTGTGTTCTTAGAGGGCTAATTTATTATTTTACAATCTATACTATATTAAAGAATACTATACTAAAGAATACAGAAAGGATACAGACAGAAGGCTAAAAGATACTAACAAAAAACTCATGACTCTCCAGAGCCTCACACAACTTGGCTGTAATTGGCCAATAGTAAAAACAATTCACATGAAACCAATGAAACCTGTTGGTAAACAATGTCCAAACACATTCCAAAGCAGCAAAATACAGGAGAAGCAAATCAGATAATTATGGTTTTCATTTTTCTCTGAGGCTTCCCAGCTTCCCAGGAGAAGAATCCTGGGCAAGGGGATTTTTCAGAAAATATGACGGTGACAAGGGATGGGGGTACAAGAAAAAAGGCATGAATGAGTTCAGGTTGATCATTCATTTAGCATCTGGGACCCCACTGCTCTCCTCCCTCCTGCACAGGACACAGACCGGACATTCCCTGTTTCCAAAATAACAGCTCACCACAGGGAGGTCACCTAGAGCAGCTTGCAGCAGACACCTGAGTTTGTGGGGCAGGTTCAGAGGACCAACAAAGGAGAAACACAGGAGAGCAGCAGCCCAGAGAGCTGTCCCTGCTGCTGCACAGCATGTTTGGTGAGGACATCAGGGGCAGGTGCCAGGTGGAAAAGGCACAGGTGAGCTGTCAGCACAGCCCCAGGTAACACTGAACTAAACAAGGCACAAAAACTCCTTTCCAGAAACACCACAGCCATAGCAATGGTGGCTGGAAGGGCCCTCACAACATCTGACTTTTCCACACACCCCTTGGGGCTCCCAGAAGTCCATCAGCTGCAAATAGGAAATTCCAGGATCCACCAATCACTCCTCCAAGTCACCACAGCCCCAGCGAGCTCAGTAAACACAATGGACTGTAATTATCAACTGACCACATACTGCAGCTGATCCTAACCACTGCCAGAGGTCAGCTCCTGGACAGGATGGGAACCAGGGCTGGGGTGTTTGCTGCATTTCCTGGAGTGTTTCTGAGCACTGGGAACAACAAACAACAACGTGGGGCCACTGCAGAAACCGCTCACAAGTGACCGAGGACAAACTCAGGTCTGGGCAGGGACAGGCACAGGCCATGTCTGAATTCCATCACGCCGTGTTTGTCCCCAGCAGAGGCAGGGAGGGGTCACAGCAGCACAGGAGAGGCAACCCTGGGGTCATCCTGAGGTCCCAAAGCACGGCCAGAGTCAGGGCTCCTCCTGCAGCCCACACTGGCAGGGACCAAACCAGAGCAGGCTCTGAGCCTCCCTCCTCAGGTGCCTTTCCAG